GAGTGGGAGAAAAAGTCACCTTTGTTGCAGGAGATGGGTAGATGGTATTCTTCCTGATACATCTTCCCCTAGCTTTTAAGTTGAGTTGGTCCTGCACTCATATAAGAGGTTGAATTCAAGCCCTCCAACAGTCCTTTCCCATCTAAATATCTCTATAGAAATGGACACATTATTAAGTTTCAAATTACCTGTGAGGAAACAGAAGATGAGGTAAACCCAGCAAAATGTTTCCTATTCTTCATAGTGAGGATTATTTACCATCTCTTGTCCCCAGAATTCCTGGGAGATTTTTCATCCCTCAAGCTGAGAGCACGGAGTGGGAAGGGAGCCCATGTCTCCCATGCCTCCCAGGATACCTGCACACTTCCCAGGCAAGAAATCTGAATTACACAAAGGTCTACAAAAGTTTGAAGCATACCAATACATATTCTGGTTCTAGAGGTGAATAAAAACTAGGTTTGGAGGAGGAGTTAACACAGCGTTTCTGAATCAAGGAAAAAAACAAATGTTAAGAGGGATTTACAGTCAAAACACCACCAAAACGTATAAAATTTTATTTTATTAATACATTAAACTATTGTGCGCAGCACATACATATAAAAATAGAAGCAATTTCACAAACAATTATTTGGACAGTTTTGTGTTTCTTGCAAATTTACAGTCTCAATTGTGAGTCCATATTGAGTCAGAACATGAGGTATATTTTAGTGAAAAAAAAAGCAATCTGAGAACTTTGGCACCATTTTACTGTGCAAAATAAAATATTGGAATTGAATAGTTAGTGAGGTATACAAATATTACTCCACTTTTCCACTGTGTGTGTGTCTGTGTCTCTGCATGTCTGGGAAAAATACATTTATTTAAGAACATGATTCAGTCCCAGCCAAATCTACTTTCTAACAGGGGTGAATTAAGTCTTAGAATGTTATGGGGTTTGCCTGAGGAAGGAGAAGCTGTAAAAATAGGCATCAACTCCACAGGAAAATCCCATGTGCAAAATATGGGCATGACAGGCTGATGTGGAGCATTCACAGCAATGCTTTCAAAGCTCATAGCCCATAGCATGACCCCTGTTGATACACACTTGACATATTTTGAAGTTCCTAATTTGGCCCTGATTTGAGAAATCCCTTTAGTTTCATAAGTTTTCTTTATGTAGTCACATAGACTTCTTTGATTTCAGCTGTGATTTCCATGTTGGCCTGGCTGGCATTGAGGTGTAATGAGGAAAAAAGCAGTGATGTAAAGAGTAACTCAGCAGAGCGACTGATGGGGCTTTCCAAATGCCCACCAAAACTGCATCCAAAATGTTCTGCAGTTTGTAAGAACAGTCTCAGCCTAGCAGGCTGTGACTAAACAGATTTATAGAATCACAGAATGACTGAGGTTGGAAAACACCTCCAAGATCATAAAGTCCAACCTTTGACAAACACCCACCTTGCCAACCAGACCAGAGCACATCAGTCATTTCCTGAACACTTCCAGGGATGTGACTCCACCTCCTCTCTGGGCAGCCTGTTCCAATGCCTGACCAGCCCTTCAGTGAAGAAATTATTCCTAATGTCCAGCCTGAACCTCCCCTGGCACAGCTTGAGGCTGTTTCCTCTTTTTCTGGCTTCTTGTAACCTGGTCTACAGGTTGTCCTCGCTTGACCAGTGTGTGCAAAATGGATCCAGTAGGTCTGATTCTCACCTTTTGTGCCAGCTGTCCCAATGCTTACCAGTCCTGGCAACAATCACTTTCTCTAGGCTGCCCTGATTTAAGAGGGAACAGACTTTATCCTGTCATAAAGATGGATGCTGGATTAAGCTGTGATAAGAAACAAACTTGTGTGCCAGCATTTGAACTCTGTTTCCTTCTACAGCCCTGGACTCTTCCATCCTTTTCAAACTTCATTTCAAAGACAATTAGGTCTATAACATCAGGATACAGGTTGCCAGCTAATATATTTCAGCACAGCTCTCTCTACCTTTAGGGACTCTAGATCAATGTACTGCCTGATACTTTCCAAACTTTTCTTTGACCCACTCTCTCCGCACTCAAAACATCCTGATTTTTCACTTCAAATGCACATTTTTCCAAAGCAAGCTGCTGCACACGTTGTGGGTGAACAAAGTGTGTAATCTTGGCTTCTCTCTGAAATACTGCAAGACCAGAAAATGAAGAGCAATTTCTTCCAACTTCTTTCCTTCCAAAGCATCCCCTGAAGCATCCCATTCCTGTACTGTGAGCAGCATTCCACTTTTTTTTCTCTTCATTTACACTGTCATCATCACTTACATTTGAACCAGATAAATTCAAGTATAAGTCACACTAGAGATGCTGGAAAACTGTATCTTGTTCACAAAACAATTGCATTGACAGTTTCTCTGGAATGGTGGCAGTAGGAACATCCTTGTGGATATGTCGTTTGGGCCAAATCTTCTGCAGCTACAAATTGATCGTTCTCCTGGGCTGATTTACTCCAGCTGAGGATCTGGCCCTGACAGTGTCTCTCATGCATGTCAGAAGGCTCAAATTCATCACGAATAGACAGCCCCTGCAAATAGAATGGCATGTCAAGGCTGGACATAGCCCCATTTTGGCTGGACGTGAGAGATAATCTTGCACTCAGATATTCACTTCTGCAGCAGCATGGTCCATCTATGCTGAAAATGCTCATGCTCTGACATTGCATTGAATCTAGTTTCAAATTTAGGAGCACGCCACCAATGCAGGAATCCCAAGGCTTCTGGTAACTGACATTTATAGTGAGTATTGACTTAGGGCCTCTTAAAATACTCTTTCAAAGGCACAGAGAATGCAGCTTCATTGGTGATCTGGAAAAGGGTTGTCAAAATAGCAAGGCAAGGTTATGTGCCATTTATACAGCTTCTAGGAGAGCTTTGAAGAGTGTTTCATACAGCTTGCTGTGTTGTCTTTGAAACTGATGCTTTGCAAGTGACAGAAATTGGAATTATGGCACGAATTCCTCTGTCCCAACACAGGAAGGTATGCTTGTGTAGCCTCCTTTCTCTCCTTCATACCTCAGGGAGGTATGATAGAGAAGAACCAAATATACTTAAGGCAGTGAAAATTCAACACAGAGATTTCTAAAATAACCCTTTGCTGGAAGCTTCCATGAATTTCTTATATTTTATAAAATGCATCCCACAGAGCAGTTCTAATTCTCAGAGATTAACAACATTCAAGCTAAGTGAAATTGAGTGCCTTTAAATATTGTTTTTCTTTTATATAAAGGCACCTGGGCATCAGGACACTGGGATGATTGATTCATTAAAAGTATGTAATTACATAGATGCACACTCACATATCCCATGTCTATATATACACAAATATTAGTATTGAAGATGTACACATCTATATTGGAAGTAAGTCTAAACTAAGCTCACAAAATTCCATTCAAAATCCTCAGCTCCAAATCAGTTTTGCATTTGGGACCCATCTGTGATTTATGCTGTGGCCCTTCCCACGAGAAATTGATTGTAGGTCTTCATTTTGCCAACCAGTCCATGTGAGGAGATCCTGGAGAATCCCTTCAGAGACAGAGGGGCTCCAGGAACAGAAAGTTTGCTTGTGTAGAAACAGTTGTGAAATTGGCACCTTAAATGATCAAAACAGGTTGAGGACTTTACAGGACAGGACACAGTCTGTAGAGGGGGGGTGCAGGCAGATATTCAGATGGAGTGAACTGCCTGAAGCTCTGGTGAAGCAAAATCATCTGGTGATTTGGCCCATGGTATGTAAACAGCTCACTACAAGAGGTTATTATCTGAGGTAAATAATATTTAGTAAATCACCTATGATTGATTAGATGGTTGCCCACAGCCATTCCACATCTTCCAAAAAATTCCTTTGCACTCCAACTTGCATTTTTCTCTGTACAGCACCAAAGGAGGCAAACAGCCATGTAAAATTTGTACAGAGTAGAAGAGAAGCAGCATTGTATTTCATATGCTATGTGATGAATCTAGTACAAATATTTTTATCCAAATATACACATACATATAGAGATTTCTTCTTTTTTTTTTATGACCAGTATAAATACTTTACCTGGGAGGTTATTCCCCTTGTGCAAAACGAAACACTTTGTCCTGGGATTTAATCTTCTGTTTTGCTGGTGCTCATATTCTTGGTAAGAAGTGGGTCACTGTCATGGCAGGAGAAACCTTGTTCCCTCTCTTCACCCTGCCATGTTTGCTCAGGGCTATGTAAGCACCACGGTGAACGTTGGATTCATACGCGTTGTAGTTATTGGGCAGCAACGTTTCCTTGAATTTGCACTCATCTTGGAAAACAGCCTAAGAAACAGCAAGGGTAGGGAGTGGGGATACAAATCAGGTACAATCAATATTCCACCAAGGCCCAGGTCATTTTTCTTCCTTGCATTTTTACACCAGGGCTCATTGCAGTGTGCGACAGGTGGTGCCCCAGCCACTGCGGCCAACAATAAATCTCCCTCCTTGGTGCTAATTTGGTGTCAGATGAACTCAGATGCCACCTGTCCAGATAATGGACTGTGTATTTCCTGTGGCAGATTGAGTTAATTCATTATAAATCATGGATTTCTTAATTTTATTTTCAAATAATTATTTCTGTCAGCATCACACTCTCTCACCTAAACAACAGCTTTATTTAAGACCTCCCCTCTGCCAGAAGTTCTGTCATTTATTAAAAAAATTATATGCTGGCTGTCGAAACCTTCAGAGCTTTTCCAAACACCAGTGTCCAGGGACAACTGCTTGCTTGAATAAGAGATTTGATTAGCAATAAATCTTTTCTTTCTTAAACCATTAGTAATATTTAACTGTGCAGCCAGATCTAAGCTGAGAAAATAGTTTTAATTTCCTCCATGTCAAAACATGAAAATCCAAGGAGAGGGAGTTATCTGGGAGAGGAGGTGCAAGGGCAAGCAGGAGACAAATGCAAAGGAAATTAAAAGAGAAAGCAGAATAATTCTCTGACTTCAAATGTCTGGCACATGAGATGCCACCAATGCAGTTCTATTTGGGCATCTGTGTGATAACACCACACAAAGCCTGTAAGAGTTTAACTTAACGCATTGTTCTGTGCAAGGGAAAATGCACATCTCTTACAGCTTTTTGAAAGTGTCTTTGAAGATAAACAAAATTATATTGAAAGAGGAGGGGAAAATCAAAGGGATTTCTGAAGCCAGACGATGCACTTCTTGAGGAAGACGCAGCTAAGTAAAGTAGATGGACTTGTGGCACTTTTTAGGTGCTTGGGATCACTTGTGATTGAAAGAATATTCCTGAAGTGAGACCTTAAAGTGTCCTACTGTCATTATGAGTGTAAGAAGGAATCAGTCAGGTTAGTAAATAGCCACAGGTCCTTCACAACATTTGGCATTATTTTAAACAACTGCAATGCTTTGTTGAAATTACAGCTGCTGTTCCTTTACAAAAGAGATTGATACAACCAGTGCCATTCATTACTTTGAGATGGGCTGATTTTGCCTATTGCCCAGAGACAGCCTCTTTCAAATGCACCTCCTAACCAGCACTTTTTCTACTGGATGTTGAGACTGGAGATGTGTTGCTCACATCTCAGAGGTTAAACTGCATTTAGATAGCAAATCATCTAGATGAGGATGATGGTGTTTCAGTATGATTTGCATACCATTGTTAATAGTTATTATTTTCTCACCCTTTGCAACTGATCTCACAAAACCAATCATTAAAATAACCCCAGCCACACATGTTGACCTTGTAGGGTAGACTTCCTATTTATTCTTGATGGTGTGGTTGTTTTTGGTAGGAGGGCGCATGTGGTCATTATTTTCCTAAGGGTAGCTGTTGGAAATAGCTATAATTGTGCCTCTCCTACACACAATGCAATGCAGGATGGAATCAATGGGGCTCAGCCTTGCTATAACGTGTTTGCAGCCCTGTGACCTTAGAAGAAGCCATCTACTTAATCTGTACTATTTGCAGAATATGTTCATTTTCCTAAGGTGTGCCATGTACAGTCTTACAGGAAACTTTTAAATCCCAGCCCTGCAACAGCCACGCTGCTCGTTGCATTAAATAGCACTGATGACAGCAGGCTGGGCAGGCTCCCTGTAACACCAGGGCTATTTTCTCTGCTTGTAATCAGAGATTTCCATAAGGAAAAGACTGAAACAAACAAAACCAAAACAAACTATACACAAACAAACAAAGCAAAACACTAAACCAAAACAAACCACTTCAAAACCTTTTTGTTTAAACTGTGAAAAATTACTTGCACTTGTACTTACCGTCCCATACAACCTGCCCTTGCTGTTCATTGCAATGAAGAGAGCACTTTTCACACCAAGCAGACTTACAACACCTCTTTCTACAGTGGATATTTCAAAGAGACCTGAAAAACATGAGGTTTAATCAGAGTGTTATCGCAGAATACAGAGCTAATGGAAGGCAATTCAGTTATCTTTTTTTTTTTAAACCTAACAAATTTGTCATATATTCTTTATGAGAATTATCTCCCTAATGCAGCAAAATAAATATACACAGAGAAAATCTTGGGTTTTTCCTCATGTCACAGGATTTTAAAATAATTATTCTAGAATTGTAATCACACTCTGTATAAGCCTTTTGCTCTATCAAACTCTTTTGATGTGTCAAACTCTGAAGCTTTTCAATTAGAAAATTATTTTAATGTAATATGCTATAGTTACAAAAAGTATTTTTACTGAGCCTTAAAGAAGTGTGGCTTGCATTTTGAAGTCCCACATGACATCTGCTGCAAAAGATTTTAGCAACTGCCCTCTACAGGAAATTCAAGTCCACATGACTAATGCTTTCCTTAATTCTTAGGGTAACAGAACAGCACCCACAAGAATGAGCAAAGCAGGACCAGCGAACTCCTTCCACGGGACATACTGAGTGTCCAAAAAATACTGGTCAGCTGGGATTTAAGAATCATGCTTTGGCACTCAGAACTCAGCAAAAACCTCCCAGATTCCAAAGGCAAATGAGAAGGTGAGGAGCAAGAAAATGCAGCAGAAAGTCAGTTTTCGACCTGGTTTGTGTTTTCTCATTTGTGCAGCAAAGCAGGTAAAAATAAATTCTGTCTAAATTTGTCTAAGCACTTTGTGCTACTTTTCAGCCAGAAGGGTTCTCATGTTTATTGATCCCAGAGACTTTTAAAAGGCAACAGATGTAGCAGAGATTAATAATATCAAGTCATAACATTTGCACTCTGTGAAGGGTGATTACTAGAGTTCACAGCAATTAAGTGACATCTATTCTATTTCATTTCTGGATGCAACTCACTGTATTGGTTTTCATTGTGAACTCCGCTTATCCTTCCGTCTGGGAGGATTTGAAGGTGAAACCCGATGCCCACGTTGCAGTAAAGCCTCCGCTGCCTCTTGATTCCTAGCAAATAGTCACTCTCCCAGTTCACATCTGCCTTCTCCCCTGACATCCCAGCCATGGACCTGAACAGCAGAGATTGCCATCCTCTCTCCAGCAATGTGCCATTAGTTCTGCTTACAACTGGGTGTGTGGCAGCAATCCCGGCTAGCAAACCCAGGAGAAGGAACGCAGGCAATGTCCGGTGAGCGCTGGCGTCGCAGGACATAGTGATGAGAAGTCTTTGTGCCGTGGCCATCCGGTTCACCTCCTGGGCACGTGGTCAGAATTAATGGCCCTAAAAATACCGCCCTTCTTATTTTTCTCCCTTCAGCATGGTGGCAGAGGCTTATTTTTGGAAAGCAAATAGAGCTTGCTGACCTGAAACTAAAGCCCGATAGCAGTTGGGTTGGGAGCAGAGACAGGCCAGCAGGACTCCAACTGGTGGGGACCATGGTTTGTGGATCCTGCTTCCTGCCAGGCAGCCTCTGTTATATTTGATTGAGCCATCTTTATAGTGCAGGGGCTGTCCCTGCCCACATCATCACTCTGACATCAACAGCCTGCCCAAGGTGAGGCTGCCAGGGCTGTAACACAAACCTGCTGTCCTCCCTGCCTGCTGAGGTTGGAGTGCTGTCACCCAAGACTGGAGGCAGGAGTGGGATTTCATTGGCTGTGGGAAGCAAAGGAGTCAAATTGGTCGGGGAGTCAGAGACCTCACAGGCAGCTTCCTTATTTAGAGAAGAAGGTGTAAAAACAGTTCTGGACCTCATCAGTGAGCAATGAGAGGTTTGCAGCCACTTCCTTGGTGGCACGATCTGCGGGTGCTTGTCGGGGCACCTCGATACTTGAGGACAATCATCTTGAGGTGGCCACAGCTCTTTTTGTGCACACACTACAAAGCCAAGGCACCTCTTACTGAGTGACCCACATGCTAATCTTTGTCTGTTCCTCTGCAGGGAGTTTTCCTGACTGGCTAAATGCTCTCATATAAGCCATGCTGCAGAGACAGAAACCCCAGCCCCTGCTGGTTTTATCCCAGACAGAATTCTGCTGAGCAGGGTACACAGGCTGGAGCATTGATCTTGCAGTGACACGTAGCTGGGAACATTAGGCCTTCCTGTTTTTCACTGAGGTGGCTTCCAAATTATCACATTTACCAGGGGAGGGTGTGTGCCTCGTGCAGGAGGGCAATTGTATTTGCAGGAGCAAGAAAAGGACTTAGATGATGTGTTAAAGATGAGGAAAAAATGAGATGGCCACAGCTTCCCAGTTTCACTGTCTCCTTTCCTCAAGCCCAAATACTTACTATTTTTATAACTTATGACCATCTTAATTTGCTTCCCTTTCCGTTTGCTCAGACTCTCTTAATTGTTTCCCCCTAATTTTCTGCTGATGCTGTTTCAGCTCCTTTGGAGTTGGATAGATTAGACTTTTATCTCAATTAGTTTCACAGAACTTATCAAGACATAAGTCAGAGGAAAATGGCTGAGATTTATACAAATACTTTTGTTAATATATCTGTCAGCTTCTCCTAGCACAGGCTTTGCATCTTCTGTGTCATTGGAGAAGCCTGCTAATGAAGAGAGTACCTGGAAGCACAATTAAACTGAGCACACCCAGTGTGACAGAGTTTCACATTAGCAGAGGTGTAATAGGAGGCCTGGGACACTGCAGACTTCCCAGCAGGAGCCCCATAAGGTGAAGGGGAGCCCCTGGCAGCCCTGAGGCAGGTGAACAGTCAGAGTCAGTGATGTATGTGAATACTGCTGGCTCTCAGGAAACAGGCTTATCTATAAAATAATTGGGAATCACAGGGCTAGGCCCTGGCTTGTGCCAGGTGACATTTCAAGGTCTCTGTGCTTTTGCTGAAGCGGAACTTGGATTATCACAGAATCACAGAATAACCTGAGCTAGAATGGACCCACTAGGATCATTCAACTCCAGTGCCTGGCTTGGCATAGGATGCCCCAACAATCCCACCCTATGCCTGAGAGCCTTGTTCAAACACTCCTTGGGGTGGTGGCCAAAGAAGGATATCTTTTGCTGAGAAAGAAAATCCTCAAATGCTTTTCTCTCCTGCTTTCTACTTTATATGATTTTTTTTTTTATCTATGTAAAGGATATATATCATTTTTAGGATGGAATAATACTAGTATTTTACACCTCCTTATCATAGCTTCAGTCTTCATAAGAGGCCAGAATCACTGGGACACAAAGCCCAGGGTCCCTGTTACAAGCATGGAGCACTGATTTCCCAGTTTTTCTTATGCTGCAGTCTGAAACCTGCCCATTCCCAATGCATGTGACTCCTGGCAACACTGCCTGATCTCAGAGCCATCACTGTCTGTAAAAACATGAATTGTAATATTTTATTTCCTGGGTTTTTTTCCCCCTAGAGAACTTTTCAAGTGTAATGGGTGCAGAGCTGGATTTCCACCCTCAGCTTTAATCACCTTTGCATCTTTATGCCTCATTCATCAGGTTTCTCAGAGTAAAGACAAACCATGGGCTAAATGAGCTCCTCTAACTTTTGCTGGCACATCTGCCACTGCAGATTCCCCCAATTCCCCCAAGGTGTCCTGATGGCACATATTAAAGGAAGACTTTGTGGGATGCACCGTGTCTCATCCCTTGATCCTGGCAGTAAAACCAAATGGTCAAACACAAAACAAACAAACAAAAAAAGGATATTTTCTGGCAAGTCTATGGGATGCATTGCTTTGCCTTTTAGTCAGTCCAGCTGGAAAGTGACTGCTGAGGGCTCTGGTGACCCAGGAGACAGGTTTCCTCCAGCAGCTTCCTGCTGAGCAGGTCCATCTGACAGCATTCTTATGGAAAGGGTGCACAGATTACTCGACTGCAAATAATGAGGACTTTTCTTGCCTGATCTGTAAGCCAAACCAAATAGCTAAAATTTGTGACTTCACTGGGACACCTGGTCCTCTTAAGACCAGGAGTCCTGGTGTCTGGCCCCAGACCAAGTGTGTTCAGCTGGGAGATGAAGAGCATTCTGCAGTCTTGTACTGCTCAGCAATTCTGCATCAGAGTTGAACCAGTCTCCAGCTGGATCTGTGGCAAGCAAGTTGCTGAGTTTCTGTGTATTAGCATCTGAATTGCCATGTAAATTCTTGAGCTTCTGATTCAATTAGGCAAGCCTTGTTTGCTCTAAAACGTCTCATTCTGCTTAAACTTGCCCTTTTGGCTCATGAAGTACCTGTTTCCAGAAAACACACTTTCTGATTTTCAGGTAGCATGTGCCCAGTGAAATTTAGAGTGGAGACACCAATAGCATTTGCAGTAAAACAAACCCTGTGAACTCCAAAATGGTAAAAATTTACTTCAGCAATCAAACTCTTCTTACTCAAACTCTTAAGAGCTGGGTGACAGTGCTCACTGCCTAACTAAAGTAAAAAAATTTCATTGTCAGTATTTCAGCACAATATTAAAATAACTTCTGTGCTTTGGAGCACAGCAATTCAGATCCACTTTCAGATAGTCTAAGAAAAGTCCTGCAGCTGAGCTGTAACATGATATGCATGCAGAGCACGTCTTTCAAAAAATGTGTGATGACTTAGGCTCCTAAGTTCCATTTTCAAATCTGTTAAAAGTCTCTCCCTATTTTAAGGCCTGGAAAGAGCAGTCTCTCATTCAAACACAGAAGGATGGACTAAAATTGTTCACCTTGCCTGTGAAGACCCAAGCTGGTGGAGGACAGTGGAGAAGGGAGATTTCCAGGTGATAAATCTGCCTATTGTGGCAGGGCAGGTGTTGGAAACTCTGGAAAAGTTGCATAAAAATCTGTAAGCCCAAGTATTACCATGGAGCCCCATCTGATCATCTTTAGGTTAATGGAGTTTGCTGCCCAGCATGGAGAGATTTATAACACAGATACCAGGACTGTTATGAATGAAATATGAATCACAATCTGAAAGTAGCAGAAAAAAAATAACAGAGCAAGGGTTGCAGGGCTGTTCTGACACCCAAGGACCCCACCGAACCGTAGAACTGGTAGCACTGAAGAGGGTGTAGTTGGCATCAAGGCTAATTTGGATAGGTCCACAGAATAGATGATTAATCAGCAGACCTGAGCTCTGGTAGCAGGAGGATGACAAAAAGGGTTGTAGCACACTCTATTTGTTATTTCTCTTCCCATTACCCAACAGAGAGGAAGATTTGTTGTCATACTGATCCCCCAAAATGAATAAACAGCACAGCAGGCAGCAACCTTTCCTAAGAGCCTTGGCAGCTGATGAGCTCTGGAGGCTGAAGCAAGCAAACTTCTGACCCAAAACTATCCCCTCATTGCAGCTGCTGATTCCTAAAACATGTACAAGACCCGTTCAAACATGGTTTGTCATCATGAGTCATGAGGAAGCCAAGATATTAATAGGGAACCTCCATTTTGTCACACACACAGAGGTCCTGGTTAGGCCACTCAGACACACCTGGGCAGGAGAGCATGTGAATTTAATAACTTACAGTTGTCACAAATAATTATCTTCCCATTACTCTACAGGGAAATCTCTCACTGAGATTTCACATGCCAATTTCTTACAGGCAAGCACAAATCACAGAACAGCTTCCTGCTATTTTGTTTTTAGAGGGAAGTGGGACAAAGGATCTACTCCCTCAGGAAACTTTAGGGATTTAGGGCTAGGTGGATGCTAGTTTGCTTGGAAAAAGATCTTGGTTTACTGCTTATTCATGCTGAACTCATTCTCTGCAGAAAGTATATCAAGCACAGACATAGTCAAATATGCCCATCTTTGTCTCCTGAGCTAGCCAGGTCTCCCTCTCCATGTCCACAGAAATGGGAATGACTGTCAGAAAACAGTGGTGACTCCACGGTGAACCTGTGGCTTCCCACCTGGTACTGTGCCCACCAGCCCACACTGCTTCTCTCAGCACCTCCTCAGCTGTTCCCACTCCACAAGGACAGGCAGTCCAAGGGTAAAAGGCCGAGCTGAAGAAAACAGAAGTGACAGCCACCACCCCCATAGGGATCTGCCTGGTGTTATTTATTAGAAGAGATGAATGACAAGGGACATGTTTAATTTGGTTTGGTTATTTCATGCACAGTTTTCTCATTACAGCAGGAACAGGGACACTGCAGGAACAGGGATGCTAAACACACATTTAAGTAACATTTTGAGTAGGAAAGCAAAAAAATACCCTTATTTTTATTGTTGTTGTTGATGAGATTCTGTCCCGTGGCCCAGCTGACCTCTGTGTGATTCCCAACCATAGAACTATTCA